GGTAAAGTGAAACTCCCCGGATCTTCCTTTTTTTTGGAGATAACCTTCCGTTGAATGATTGCACTGCACTCACGAGTCAACACTACCATCCCTTGTGCTTCCCTGGTTCTTTGCTGAACAGCATCCTTCAGGAATTTCCGATAAGGTGGAATGGGCATCAAAGCGTCGATGAAAGGTAACTTTAGCTCAAGTTGTCTCATTAGTTCAACAAACTTAGCCTTGTGTGCTTCCAATAGTTGTTTCTTGAACCTTCCTGGAAAAGGCATAGGGGGTTTGTATGGTGGTGGTCTGATGTACTTGCATTTTACATAGTTTTAGCACATCTTTTATGCATCTTTTGCATAGTTTTAGCTTCCATTTGCATCATATCTTGTTCCTTTTCTCTTCTTATGCATTCATGTTAGTTTTAGGTTGCATTTGCATACATATGCATGTTTGGTCCTTTGAAATAGGTCTTTTGGAGCATTCTGGAGCATATGGGACATGAGGAGCATGGAGGGACTTGGCACATGGAAGCAGCTCAACTGGATACGCAAAGGAAGAAGGGAGAAGCCATCTTGAAGACCAGCTCGACCGTCTACTCGACCAACCGGTCGAGTTCCTCAACTCGACCGGCCAAGCTTCAACTCGATCGAGCTGAGAAGTCAACAGTCAAACCCGAAAAATGTTGCTTCCCCCTTGACTTTCCTTTGACCCTAAACCTAATCCTCTTGTATTTAAAGGCTCTAAGCCACGAAAAAACCACCAAGCTTTAGATTATTTTGTTTTAGTTTCTTTTAATTTATTGTCTTTTACTTTTTAGAGATCTAATCCCATCTTTGTGTTCTTGAAGCTCTTGCTTCTTGAATCCTAGATCCTGGATAATCTCTTTGTATTTGCACTTGCTTATTTCAATAAAAGTTGTTTAATTTCATCTCCTCTTTCTTATGATGTCTCTTTTATTGCATTTGCTTGTGTTTACATTCATGTGTAGTGAGTAGTTACCCATTAGGGTTTGAGATGGGATAGATTAGAGGTTTCATATGCTTAATCCTTCTAGCTTATGGTCTTAATCTAGATTCTCTCTCTTTTGGATAGATCTTAAGGCTACATGACCACTACCCCTGGCTTGTAAGTCCTTAGGCGACTCCCCACACGAAAGTGATGGCATTCGCTGGAAAAGATCCACTAAGAGCTCCAATATCTCTTGCTCTAGACATAGAGGTCTAAGGGGTTGGATGGATTAGTTTGGGCAATGATCCTATAGCCTCCAAGGTTTGATTCTCACTGGCTAACCCCCTGTTTCTGAGATCATTCCTTGGTTGATAGCCTCCACCTTGGGAAAGGGTTGGCTAGGCATTGAGAAGCCCAATATCAAGAGAAGCCTTGATACAAGGAGTTTTAAGAGCTAGATTGATTAAGTGTAGATTCCTTTGATTGCAAAACCCTGTCTTGAACCCTAATTCTCTCTTTATCTTGTTAAAGTCGTCACCTTTAGCTTTGTTTGTCTCAACTCGTCCCTAAACTCGATCGAGCTGGTACTTTGCTCTACTCGACTCGAGCTCTTGGTCGAGCTGACACTTCACTGCTTTTTTACTTTTATTGCACTGCTTTTCATTTTATTTAGGTTGTTAGTGTTACTTCAAATCTTAACTGCTTGCTTGACTTCCTGGTTGTTTCATATTCTCAAAGAGTGACAAGTTTCCCATTTTGGATTGATAACCCTTTGTACTACATCAACTATGATGGTTAAAGGGAATTGTTGACTGTGTTTGTGTTTGCATCTTACCACCTCATCATATACCACTGATTGCATTCCACTCATCTCATTTCATATCTTTCACATCCACACACAAATCCTATCATCAATTTGGCGCCGTTGCCGATTTGGGAATATTTTTGTTGCATTTGAGTTTCAAACACACTTGGACGATCAAGCTATACCACCCCTGTTCTATTGTACTGCTGGGTTTTTGTCTCTTTTTGCAGGTGTATGCGAACTCGATCGAGTCGGTCTACAGAGGACTTGGTCGAGCTAGACTTACAACGGGTAGAAAGAGGGTTCAGAGGTCACAGAGGGTACAAGAGGAACCTGAGGTGCTTGTTGCTGATACAATGGATGTACCAGAGGGGAATGGAAACCCTTTGGGTAATGGACTCGGTCGAGCTAGGCAAACTCGACCGATTGGTCAAGGAGATGCTCCAAACCGCCACCAACAGAGACAAGGGATTGTTCCACCACCAGTGCAGAACCACAACTTTGAGATCAAGCTGGGAATGATCAACCTTGTCCAGAACAAGATGTTCCATGGATTGCCAAGTGAAGACCCCATTGACCACCTTGATGAGTTTGATAGGCTTTGTGATTTGACAAAGATCAATGGTGTCTCTGAAGATGCCATCAAGCTGAGACTCTTTCCTATGTCTCTAGCTGACAAAGCTCACCAATGGGAGAAGAGCTTGCCCCATGGCACAATCACCACTTGGGATGAATGCAAGAAGGCCTTTCTTGCTAAGTTTTTCTCCACCGGTCGCACAGCCAAGCTTAGAGGAGAGATATCCAGCTTCATCCAGCGAAACAATGAGACATTCGCAGAGGCTTGGGAGAGGTTCAAAGGCTACACAAGTCAGTGCCCACACCATGGATTCAACAATGAATCCTACTCTCCACTCTTTATAGAGGATGCTTGCCTAGGTATAGGGAGATGCTAGACACAGCTAGCAATGGGAACTTCCTCAACCAGGATGTAGATGATGGCTGGCAACTTGTGGAGAACATAGCTAACTCAAATGGAAGCTATGGAGAAGAGTATGATCGCACCAACCGGAGCTCGACCCACCACTCGATCGAGTCAGACGAAAAGTTGAGAAAAGATGTTAAGGCATTGAATGAGAAGTTGGATAAGCTGATCCTAGCTCAGTCCACAATGAAGAAAGTCAACTTTGTGTCTGCTGAGGAGATGGAACCAGTCCAAGAAGGGGAGGATACACAATTTGCTGAGGTGTGCTACATGAGCAATGGGCAAGGAGGTTACAACAAAGGATACTATAATTACAAGTCCAACCCTGCCATGTCATACCGCAACACTGATGTTGCTAACCCTCAGGACCAAGTATATCCTCAACAACAAGCAGCTCGATCGAGTCAGGTGCCACAACATGGGTATGGTCAAAAGAACAATTACCAAGGACCACAAGGCACTTTCCCTGGACAACAAATGAATATCCCACCAGGCTTCCCCCACCAACCGCCCCAGCCTGCACCTTCACAAGAGAATGAGCTCAAGGCAATGCTAAAGCAACTACTTCAAGGGCAAGCTGATGGGGTAGTGGACACAAGCAAGAAGCTAGCTGAAATAAACTCTAAGATCGAGAACCTCAACACAAGGGTTTACTCTCTGGAGAATCATGCTTCTTCTGTTGCTGCTGCTACAAAGCAAGGACAACTACCTGGTAAAGCTATTCAGAACCCCAAGGAACAGTGCAAGGTCATCTTCACTCAAGAAGGACTTGTTGAAGAAGAGGATCAAGAAAGGGTCATTGAAGATTTTTGTTTACTGCTGAATGATGAAGAGATTGTTGCTGCTGAGGCTCCTGGAGTCCAGATTGATCAACCAGAAGTGCATGCACCTACTGTGGCCATTCACACTTCACCAGTTGAGCTCGCACGACAAGCTCGATCGGCAGCTCGATCGAGTCCAACTCTAGCTCGATCGAGTCCGACCTCTTCTGTCCGACAGCCTGTTTTGCTTGATCCTTATCAACCGGTTGCCGCTTCCTCGTCTCGCCTACTTAGTCAAGGTCACAAGGAAGTGATTCACAAGTTCAGAAGAGATCTCAGTGGGATTGGAATTGAGTTGCCTCCTATGGATAGCATGAGTGAGGCATTTGATCAAATGCAAATGGTCAAGGATGTTCTAGCCAACAGTGATAAAGTTTCAGAGGTCCTACAAGAGTCTACTCATCAGTTCAACCTGCTTACTTCACCCACCTTCCTACCAAAGGTCAAGGATCAAGGGAAATTCACTCTCCCTTGCACACTTGGGCATCTTGAGATTGACAATGCCTTAGTGGATTCTGGAGCAAGCATCAATCTGATCTCTCTCTCCATGGCAGAGAAGCTAGGCATTGCTGGAGCCTTGCAGCGCCCTACTACTTCAATCATGTTTGGAGATGCAACTTCTAAGTCTCCTCTTGGAGTGTTCAAGAACTATCACTTGAAAATTGGAGAATGCATCATCCAAACTGATCTCACTGTGATGGAAATGGAAGAAGAGAAGGATTTACCTCTGTTATTGGGAACCCCTTTCCTTAGTACAGTTGGCGCTTCAATAGACTTTCACAAGCAAGAAGTGATCCTTCACAAGGTGAATAGTTTGGTGTCATATCGCTTGCAGCCTAGAGGTTCAGACTTTTGTGCCACAATTGACAGTACCACTCTCAGTTCTAAGAGTCATGGAGCTACAAAGGTTGTGAAGGAAAGGTTGACAAGGAACCAAGAGTTGGGAAGGATAAGGATGAGAGAGGACCAAGGATTGAGAAGCCACGTCTTGAGAGGGCTAGAGTTGAGAAACCACGTCTGATAGGCCACGAGCTGATAGACTTGTTCAAGCCCCTTGTGTGCTTGATGAAGAGAAGCCTTCAAGCTTTGTTTGATGAGCCACTAGGAAGGGCTCTAAAAGAAGGGGAGGATGTAGCCTCTAAGGCAAGACCAGGGATAAAAGAAAAGATCCACCAGCTCAGGCCCCTTCAGTCAAGCCATCTCAGCTCACAATGACTTTGTTCCCCACCAAGTTTGAAAATGGGAAGATTGAGTACAAGATAAGGTACAAGGGGAGATCAAGGCCATTCTCTAGAGCCAAGGCCTTGGTGACTTCAGAACAGTCCAGGGACCCAACCAAGCTAAAGGAGCTTCTGTCTCAAGTCCTCACTATCACCCTTGATGGTGGGACTAGCTCAACCAATGCCTAAAAGGTAAAGGTCAAGCTATGGGACCTTAAACAAGCTCACTTGGGAGGAAGTCCCATGTTTATCCTTGTACATACTCTATTTATGCAATTTCTATCTATCTTTATGTTTTTAACCTTTGAATAAGTTAAGTTTAGGTGTCAAAGGAGCCAGCTCGACCGATAGCTCGATCGAGCTAGAAACCAGGGCAACTCGATCGAGCTACACAACTCGACCGAGGTAAGTTTTTGAATTTCAAATTCATAACCGTTTTCTTGGTCAAGGGAGTGGGTCCCACAAGCTGATTTTGGTCCCCCACTACCCTAATTGATCAGAGAATCCCTAGCTTCTTGTTCCCTCTTTATTTCATCTTTTAATCTCAACCACACATCTCAAACACCCCTCTTCCCCATAACTCGATCGAATCCACCTTCTCCACTCTCCCACACCTTAAAATTTCTGAAACTCATCTCTCTCTCTCTTCACCACAAGAAAAATCGATTTCAATCTCTCTCTTAAGTTTTTGCGATTTCCTTGTTCTTCATCTTGTTTTGCTTGGGTTTTGTTTACTGCTCTTCAATTCATCATTCAACAAGGTATGAACCCTAAAACCCTTGATTCATCCATCTCGATTTCATATTGCTTGTTTCTCTTTGATTTTTGATTGCATGTGTCCCTTGTGGACTTGTTCTTGAGTAATTGCCCTCATATTTCGCCTTGCTATATAATCTTGTTAGTTTGCCTCACCTCACCTCTGTTTTGCCTTTAAACTTGTTGCATGTGCTTGAAAATTGAATTTGAGTTTGGTATTGGTTAAGATGCTTAGTGCTTCTCACTAGAATTGCTCATTGTTCCATTTACTAGTTGTTCTTGGTTCAATTTGATTGATTAGCATCCTTTCCAGCTCTTAATACTTGAATTAGGTTTGGTTATACTCTGTTTTCACCCAGCTCGATCGAGTTTGTCACTCGAGTTTTTTGACTCGATCGAGCTGAGTGTCGAGTTGACCAAACCGATCATTGCAACTCTAATTCTTTGTAATCTTTGATGCATTTCAGGTACTTTAGTGAAGAAACAGTGTACAAGATGACAAACAGTGAGGGAAGTCGCGCTTCACAGAGGAGAATGGTTGAGGGTGAATCAAGCAATGCAAGGGAAAGAAGGCTTAAGATGCAAGCCGATTTGAAGAGGATGGATCAGAGGATGGAAGAATCTGATGCAGAGGGATATGTGTACTCTGAGGAAGAATCTGAGAGTGAGAGATTGAGAGGAGAGGAGACCAAGAAGAGGAATGACCCCATTAGTAGTGAGAGTGAGCAAGGGGAGTTTGAGATTGGAGTGAACCTTGTTCAAGAGGAGGGAAATGGTTCTCCAAATGAAGAAGGAGTGATGAGACTGAGAGTGAAGAGGAAGGAGAAGAGGTGAACCAATTGGTTGATGAAGATGATCAAGAGGGAACCAAGATGAACCTATGGAGGAGTTGAGCCACAAGAGCAGAAGAGGAGGAGGAAGAACTCCCTATGTACCAAGAGCACTTACAATGCCCTCTTCTCCATGGACTTCATGGACCAAGTACCCACATGTTGACACAATGAAGGCCCTTGGAATCTTTGAGGATGTGGAGCTTTCTCAAGAACATGCACTTGGCCAAGCTTTTCTCTTATCACATGGAATCCTACAAGGAGCTCACTTGCGAGTTCTTAGCTTCAATGAGGTACCACATGTATGAAGAGGAAGATAGAGCTGATTTGGACCAAGGATTGGGATGGATCACGTTCTTGGCTAAGGGAGAGAAGAGAATGGTGACCTTTAGGCAGCTGGAAATCTTGTTTGGGTTCAACTATGGAGAGGGTACCAAGTGGAACTTCAAGGAAAAGGAACTCCAAAGGGTTTGGGCTACAATCGCTGATGGAGTGTACTCTTCCTCAAGGTCCAAGGCAGCTCAGATCAGGAGCCCAGTCTTGGGGGTGTTGATGTACTTGCATTTTACATAGTTTTAGCACATCTTTTATGCATCTTTTGCATAGTTTTAGCTTCCATTTGCATCATATCTTGTTCCTTTTCTCTTCTTATGCATTCATGTTAGTTTTAGGTTGCATTTGCATACATATGCATGTTTGGTCCTTTGAAATAGGTCTTTTGGAGCATTCTGGAGCATATGGGACATAAGGAGCATGGAGGGACTTGGCACATGGAAGCAGCTCAACTGGATACGCAAAGGAAGAAGGGAGAAGCCATCTTGAAGACCAGCTCGACCGTCTACTCGACCAACCGGTCGAGTTCCTCAACTCGACCGGCCAAGCTTCAACTCGATCGAGCTGAGAAGTCAACAGTCAAACCCGAAAAATGTTGCTTCCCCCTTGACTTTCCTTTGACCCTAAACCTAATCCTCTTGTATTTAAAGGCTCTAAGCCACGAAAAAACCACCAAGCTTTAGATTATTTTGTTTTAGTTTCTTTTAATTTATTGTCTTTTACTTTTTAGAGATCTAATCCCATCTTTGTGTTCTTGAAGCTCTTGCTTCTTGAATCCTAGATCCTGGATAATTCTCTTGTATTTGCACTTGCTTATTTCAATAAAAGTTGTTTAATTTCATCTCCTCTTTCTTATGATGTCTCTTTTATTGCATTTGCTTGTGTTTACATTCATGTGTAGTGAGTAGTTACCCATTGGGTTTGAGATGGGATAGATTAGAGGTTTCATATGCTTAATCCTTCTAGCTTATGGTCTTAATCTAGATTCTCTCTCTTTTGGATAGATCTTAAGGCTACATGACCACTACCCCTGGCTTGTAAGTCCTTAGGCGACTCCCCACACGAAAGTGATGGCATTCGCTGGAAAAGATCCACTAAGAGCTCCAATATCTCTTGCTCTAGACAATAGAGGTCTAAGGGGTTGGATGGATTAGTTTGGGCAATGATCCTATAGCCTCCAAGGTTTGATTCTCACTGGCTAACCCCCTGTTTCTGAGATCATTCCTTGGTTGATAGCCTCCACCTTGGGAAAGGGTTGGCTAGGCATTGAGAAGCCCAATATCAAGAGAAGCCTTGATACAAGGAGTTTTAAGAGCTAGATTGATTAAGTGTAGATTCCTTTGATTGCAAAACCCTGTCTTGAACCCTAATTCTCTCTTTATCTTGTTAAAGTCGTCACCTTTAGCTTTGTTTGTCTCAACTCGTCCCTAAACTCGATCGAGCTGGTACTTTGCTCTGACTCGACTCGAGCTCTTGGTCGAGCTGACACTTCACTGCTTTGTTTACTTTTATTGCACTGCTTTTCATTTTATTTAGGTTGTTAGTGTTACTTCAAATCTTAACTGCTTGCTTGACTTCCTGGTTGTTTCATATTCTCATAGAGTGACAAGTTTCCCATTTTGGATTGATAACCCTTTGTACTACATCAACTATCATGGTTAAAGGGAATTGTTGACTGTGTTTGTGTTTGCATCTTACCACCTCATCATATACCACTGATTGCATTCCACTCATCTCATTTCATATCTTTTCACATCCACACACAAATCCTATCATCATGGTCGTGCTGGAGTATCTTTCTTCCTTGCAACAGGTTTAACTGGTTGGCTGGAGCTTGCTTTGTCTGTTCTCTTCTCAGCTCGATCGAGTTCTGGTTTGTCTTTCTGAGTCTCGGTTTCTTCAGCTCGATCGAGTTCGGGTTCAGGGTTTTGTTCCAGCTCGATCGAGTTCGGTGCCGGAATATGGTCATACTCGACCAAATCCTCCCCTTCCTCGTCATCGATGTCCACAGAGATTTGGGGTGGGCTAGCCCTGCTTGGAAATTGTCGCCAACTTCTCAGTGTAACAGCCTGAGCATACTCGTGAGATGAAGAGGATGACACAGTAGAAGACTCAATGGTTTGCACTCTTGAAGTCAATGACTCCAGTTTTGAGTTTATTTCTAGCAACTTGTGGTTCATGTCTAGTGAACCTTTGGCTTGCCCTTGAAGGAGTTGTTGGAGCATATCCTTCATATCCCAATCTTGGTTCTGTGTAGTTGGGTATGGCATTGGTGGGAATCCTGGTGGGAAACTTGGAAGGTGCCCTTGCTGGTTGGATCTGTGTGGAGTCATTTGGTAAGCCACAAGTGCCTGGTAGAATGTGTGACCATAGATGGTCTTCCTTGTGGTTGGAGTGGTGCTTGTATGGTGTTTCTCCTCCCCTTCCTGTTTGATAGCCTGAGTTGTATCAGAGATAGAGCTGACTTCTTTGGGAGGAAATTGAGCTACAATCAGCTTGTCAATCTTCGAATGGAGAGCCTGCAAGTCTTTTCGCATCTGAGGTTCGGACTCGATCAGTGCTATCATAATTGTCTCCATATCTTTCTGTTGAGAGGGCGATGTTTTCCACTAGCTCCCAGCCATCTTCCACATCTTGATTGAGGAAGTTCCCATTGCTGGTTGTGTCTAGCATCTCCCTTTGCCTTTTCAAACATCCTCTATAGAGTATGGATAGTAATGATTCATGGCTGAATCCATGGTGAGGCCATTGGCTCATGTATCCCTTCAATCGCTCCCAAGCTTCTCCAAAAGTCTCATTGTTCCTTTGTATGAAACTCGAGATCTCACTCCTTAGCTTGGCTGTGCGACTGGTGGAGAAAAATTTAGCAAGAAAGGCCTTCTTGCATTCATCCCAAGTGGTGATTGTGCCATGGGGCAAGCTCTTCTCCCATTGGTGAGCTTTGTCAGCTAGAGACATAGGAAAGAGTCTCAGCTTGATGGCATCTTCAGAGACACCATTGATCTTTGTCAAATCACATAGCCTATCAAACTCATCAAGGTGGTCAATGGGGTCTTCACTTGGCAATCCATGGAACATCTTGTTCTGAACAAGGTTGATCATTCCCAGCTTGATCTCAAAGTTGTGGTTCTGCACTGGTGGTGGAACAATCCCTTGTCTCTGTTGGTGGCGGTTTGGAGCATCTCTTAGACCAATCGATTTTATGCTATTTTACTATGGTTTTCTAATGGTTTTCTAGTGGATTCTTGTGTTAAAAGGTAGTTTTTATGGATTTATAGTGCAAAGAGTCATTTTAGGTAAAAAGGTGCATTATGGAGCAAAACAGGAGATTTGGACTCTAAACCAGTTCAATGCCCCTGCATCAACTTTGGATGGAGCTAGAAAAAGATCTACTCAATGGATTTCATCAAGACCAGTTCCCTGCGTGCTCTGATTGAGTTAACTTTCCAACGCAACTGGAATGGCTTCATTTGGATGAGTAGAAAAGGAGTTATAGCCAAAAGAGTGAAGGCTGCTCCAGACAGCTATATCGAGAATCAGCGCCCGAACGCGCAGTCCGGCTGGCCGAGGAACGAATGTTCCGCGCTCGGCCAAAGCTATATCCGTCCGACTGAAGTCTCGGCCAAAGTTCAAACCGACCGGCCGATCACGCAACACGACCCGGGAAACATTGTCCCGCGGTCGGCCAAGCCAAGTCACGCCACGCCGCGCACGACCAAAGCGCGCGAGCCGGGAAACAAGCCTCGCGGCCGCGCAACCTTCGCGTACCACGGCCGATGCATCCGTCCGAGCCGGGAAAGAACGTCCCACGTCCGGCCGAGAAACCATCGGCCAATTCTCTATCCGCCCGACCAAGCCGGCCGACCATGAAACATCCGGCCACGACCGTTCCGACTCGGCCAAGACCCGACTGTCCGGCCGATCGTCCCGACCGTCCGAACGCCGCGGTCGACCCGAAGCCGTTTTTGAAGCCCAATCCGCACAATTCAAGCCCAAAGCCGGCGCCGACCTAGCTAGATTAGGTTTAGCCGCCTTTCATACTTAGAGCATTATAAATACTTCTTTTTAGCCTTGTAACTCAAGAAGGAGAGAGACCACAATCTATTTTACATCTTAATAAAGTTTTGCTTGCTTTTACTTTGTTCTTGCTTGTTACTCTTTCTAGAGAGGATTCGAATCTCTGTTCTTATGAATATGAATTCGTGTTCCTTCTCTATGTCTGAGTAGTTTACTTGTTAAGTGATAGGAAGTCAAAGGATAGCATTCATGTATGCTTGATGATTGATCACAATTAGGGTTTTACTTATAATCTCCATCTTTGCTTATACTTAATGCTTGTTGTTAATCTGGCCAATTAGCATATGCCTTTAGGTTGATTTGAGCCTCGACAGTGCTGTATCATTCGCCTGAACTAGTATTTGGTGGGCAATCTCTTTTAGACTGCGACAGTTGATCTACTTGTAGGTTGTGAACAATTGATCTTGATCGAACTAATGCTTGATTTAATCACCTAGGGACATACCAAAAGTTTAGCGACTAGGTAGATTAACAAAGGGGTCGGAGCCTCGACAGTGGAATGATCATACCATAGTGTTTCAAGTTCTAGATTAGCACCTAAGTGCGGTAACCCTAATTGATTGATTTCATGCTTCTTGAATTGCTTATCTCAAGACTATCCTATTGCTTAGCCTTTCTCTCCTATTGAATCTCACTTTTATTACTTGCATGCTTTACTTTCTCTGCACTCAACCAACTTATACTTTTGCCCTAGCTTGTTCTCAAACTCATAACTTGTAGTGTGCAATCTGGTCCTTGTGTTCGATACCCGTTTACTACTTCTGACCTGTGCACTTGCAGAATCAGGGATAGGAAAGGGGAAGACCTGATCCCGCGATCAAGTTTTTGGCGCCGTTGCCGGGGACCAATTCGCACCTACAAGCTCTTGCAAGAGAGCTAGTCTAGGGTTTTCACTTTTCCTTTTTGTTTTTGTTATTTCCTTTTTTCTTTGATTTTGTTTTTCCTTTTTGGTTTTTCCTTTTTGTTTTTAGCTTTTCAGGTTTTCCTAGTTAGATATGGAGAAGGAGCCACAAGCCTCTTCCCCTATAAAGGCGATGCCAATTCGCCACATACCACCTCAAAGCACCTCTTGAGCGAACAAGAGATGTTAAGCCCTCAAGCACCACCACCTTCATGGGATAGTCCTCCAAGACCATCCACTTTGAAGACAAAGAAGAAACTTCTTCCTTACCTTGAAGCAGCCGACCTGGAGACGTCTAGCCAAGCCGCATCACACCAAGAAGAGTACCTTCTAGCCACACCAGAAGAGGAGATTAACCCTGAGCTGATCGAGTTCGTGAAGAGAGATCAATTCCATGATCTGTTTTCAGAGTATGCGCTGGAGCACATAGATCACTTTGACAACCTTTGTGATTCCTATGGAGTTTTTGACTTTGAGAAGAAGATGATGCTATTCAGCACATCACTAGCTGGACCAGCACTAGATTGGGCGCAGCATGAACCACCTCTACAATCGAGTCATGGATCGATTTTAGAGAAGCTTTCTTGGAAAGGTTTGCAAGAAGCCACCTTTCAAATCCAAGTACCACCACTACTCTCATCAGCTGGAGAGAGAGCGTGATGAAGAAGAATGGGGAGGCATACCACCCCATCCTGAAGTTTTGAATGAAGAGCTAATCAAGCATGTGGAGAGGAATCCTTTCTACAATTCTACTTCAGAATGTGCAAAGGAGCATCTATGCAACTTTGAGCAGCTTTGCCACGACTATGGACTTGGAGACAACCCCAAGAAGATACAACTTTTCCAACTATCTCTAGCTGGACAAGCCAAAGACTGGGCTAAGTTCAATGCCCAACATGCTTTCAAGACTTGGAATGGATACAAAGGAGCTTTCCTCACAGATTTGATAAAGGTCCTGTTTATGTTCCACCACCACGCCCAAGCTATTCACATCACCATCCATCATCACCAAGACATAAACAAGACACATTTTCCCAAGGGAGAGCTATCAAGCTGCGCGCCAAACCAAGATTGAAGAGATGCTTCAAGAGTACTTGAGAAATCAAGATGAGAGTACAAAGAAGATGGGAGAAGAATCGATTTCATCCATGAGAGCCTTGGAAACAAATCTGAAGTCCTATTCAAGCAAGTGATCAAGCTTGATGAAGACATTAAGAAGTTAAGAGAGGATCATGATCGATCTTTGACCCTAGTTAAGCTTGATGTTGCTTCCAAATATCAAGAGTTGCTGAACAAGAGCATGAGAATTGAAGATACTAGCTATGGCAATAGCAAACATCTTGGATCAATCTACAACCGCCTACAAGCCCTTGAAGGATCATCTCATGCCAATTACAAGAGAGAGAGGAGTCCAACACCCAACCACCCTCCCTTTTATTGCAATGCCATCACAAGAAGAAGCTGATGTACTTGCATTTTACATAGTTTTAGCACATCTTTTATGCATCTTTTGCATAGTTTTAGCTTCCATTTGCATCATATCTTGTTCCTTTTCTCTTCTTATGCATTCATGTTAGTTTTAGGTTGCATTTGCATACATATGCATGTTTGGTCCTTTGAAATAGGTCTTTTGGAGCATTCTGGAGCATATGGGACAAGAGGAGCATGGAGGGACTTGGCACATGGACGCAGCTCAACTGGATACGCAAAGGAAGAAGGGAGAAGCCATCTTGAAGACCAGCTCGACCGTCTACTCGACCAACCGGTCGAGTTCCTCAACTCGACCGGCCAAGCTTCAACTCGATCGAGCTGAGAAGTCAAAGTCAAACCCGAAAAATGTTGCTTCCCCCTTGACTTTCCTTTGACCCTAAACCTAATCCTCTTTGTATTTAAGGGCTAAAAGCCACGAAAAAACCACCAAGCTTTACTTTATTTTTGTTTTAGCTTTTCTTTAATTTATTGTCTTTACTTTTAGCAACCCTAATCCAATCTTTGTGTTCTTGAAGCTCTTGCTTCTTGAATCTTAGATCCTGGATTATTTGCTTTGTATTTGCACTTGCTTATTTCAATAAAAGTTGTTTAATTTCATCTCCTCTTTCTTATGATGTCTCTTTTATTGCATTTGCTTGTGTTTACATTCATGTGTAGTGAGTAGTTACCCATTGGGGTTTGAGATGGGATAGATTAGAGGTTTCATATGCTTAATCCTTCTAGCTTATGGTCTTAATCTAGATTCTCTCTCTTTTGGATAGATCTTAAGGCTACATGACCACTACCCCTGGCTTGTAAGTCCTTAGGCGATTCCCCACACGAAAGTGATGGCAATTACTGGAAAAGATCCACTAAGAGCTCCAATAACTCTTGCTCTAGAAAATAGAGGTCTAAGGGGTTGGATGGATTAGTTTGATAGGCTTTGTGATTTGACAAAGATCAATGGTGTCTCTGAAGATGCCATCAAGCTGAGACTCTTTCCTATGTCTCTAGCTGACAAAGCTCACCAATGGGAGAAGAGCTTGCCCCATGGCACAATCACCACTTGGGATGAATGCAAGAAGGCCTTTCTTGCTAAGTTTTTCTCCACCGGTCGCACAGCCAAGCTTAGAGGAGAGATATCCAGCTTCATCCAGCGAAACAATGAGACATTCGCAGAGGCTTGGGAGAGGTTCAAAGGCTACACAAGTCAGTGCCCACACCATGGATTCAACAATGAATCACTACTCTCCACTCTTTATAGAGGATGCTTGCCTAGGTATAGGGAGATGCTAGACACAGCTAGCAATGGGAACTTCCTCAACCAGGATGTAGATGATGGCTGGCAACTTGTGGAGAACATAGCTAACTCAAATGGAAGCTATGGAGAAGAGTATGATCGCACCAACCGGAGCTCGACCCACCACTCGATCGAGTCAGACGAAAAGTTGAGAAAAGATGTTAAGGCATTGAATGAGAAGTTGGATAAGCTGATCCTAGCTCAGTCCACAATGAAGAAAGTCAACTTTGTGTCTGCTGAGGAGATGGAACCAGTCCAAGAAGGGGAGGATACACAATTTGCTGAGGTGTGCTACATGAGCAATGGGCAAGGAGGTTACAACAAAGGATACTATAATTACAAGTCCAACCCTGCCATGTCATACCGCAACACTGATGTTGCTAACCCTCAGGACCAAGTATATCCTCAACAACAAGCAGCTCGATCGAGTCAGGTGCCACAACATGGGTATGGTCAAAAGAACAATTACCAAGGACCACAAGGCACTTTCCCTGGACAACAAATGAATATCCCACCAGGCTTCCCCCACCAACCGCCCCAGCCTGCACCTTCACAAGAGAATGAGCTCAAGGCAATGCTAAAGCAACTACTTCAAGGGCAAGCTGATGGGGTAGTGGACACAAGCAAGAAGCTAGCTGAAATAAACTCTAAGATCGAGAACCTCAACACAAGGGTTTACTCTCTGGAGAATCATGCTTCTTCTGTTGCTGCTGCTACAAAGCAAGGACAACTACCTGGTAAAGCTATTCAGAACCCCAAGGAACAGTGCAAGGTCATCTTCACTCAAGAAGGACTTGTTGAAGAAGAGGATCAAGAAAGGGTCATTGAAGATTTTTGTTTACTGCTGAATGATGAAGAGATTGTTGCTGCTGAGGCTCCTGGAGTCCAGATTGATCAACCAGAAGTGCAGGCACCTACTGTGGCCATTCACACTTCACCAGTTGAGCTCGCACGACAAGCTCGATCGGCAGCTCGATCGAGTCCAACTCTAGCTCGATCGAGTCCGACCTCTTCTGTCCGACAGCCTGTTTTGCTTGATCCTTACCAACCGGTTGCCGCTTCCTCGTCTCGCCTACTTAGTCAAGGTCACAAGGAAGTGATTCACAAGTTCAGAAGAGATCTCAGTGGGATTGGAATTGAGTTGCCTCCTATGGATAGCATGAGTGAGGCATTTGATCAAATGCAAATGGTCAAGGATGTTCTAGCCAACAGTGATAAAGTTTCAGAGGTCCTACAAGAGTCTACTCATCAGTTCAACCTGCTTACTTCACCCACCTTCCTACCAAAGGTCAAGGATCAAGGGAAATTCACTCTCCCTTGCACACTTGGGCATCTTGAGATTGACAATGCCTTAGTGGATTCTGGAGCAAGCATCAATCTGATCTCTCTCTCCATGGCAGAGAAGCTAGGCATTGCTGGAGCCTTGCAGCGCCCTACTACTTCAATCATGTTTGGAGATGCAACTTCTAAGTCTCCTCTTGGAGTGTTCAAGAACTATCACTTGAAAATTGGAGAATGCATCATCCAAACTGATCTCACTGTGATGGAAATGGAAGAAGAGAAGGATTACCTCTGTTATTGGGAACCCCTTTCCTTAGTACAGTTGGCGCTTCAATAGACTTTCACAAGCAAGAAGTGATCCTTCACAAGGTGAATAGTTTGGTGTCATATCGCTTGCAGCCTAGAGGTTCAGACTTTTGTGCCACAATTGACAGTACCACTCTCAGTTCTAAGAGTCATGGAGCTACAAAGGTTGTGAAGGAAAGGGTTGACAAAGAACCAAGAGTTGGGAAGGATAAGGATGAGAGAGGACCAAGGATTGAGAAGCCACGTCTTGAGAGGGCTAGAGTTGAGAAACCACGATCTGATAGGCCAAGAGCTGAGACTTGTTCAAGCCCCTTGTGTGCTTGATGAAGAGAGCCTTCAAGCTTTGTTTGATGAGCCACTAGGAAGGGCTCTAAAAGAAGGGGAGGATGCAGCCTCTAAGGCAAGACCAGGGATAAAAGAAAGGATCCACCAGCTCAGGCCCCTTCAGTCAAGCCATCTCAGCTCACAATGACTTTGTTCCCCACCAAGTTTGAAAATGGGAAGATTGAGTACAAGATAAGGTACAAGGGGAGATCAAGGCCATTCTCTAGAGCCAAGGCCTTGGTGACTTCAGAACAGTCCAGGGACCCAACCAAGCTAAAGGAGCTTCTGTCTCAAGTCCTCACTATCACCCTTGATGGTGGGACTAGCTCAACCAATGCCTAAGAAGGTAAAGGTCAAGCTATGGGACCTTAAACAAGCTCACTTGGGAGGAAGTCCCATGTTTATCCTTGTACATACTCTATTTATGCAATTTCTATCTATCTTTGTGTTTTAACCTTTCAATAAGTTAAGTTTAGGTGTCAAAGGAGCCAGCTCGACCGACAGCTCGATCGAGCTAGAAACCAGGGCAACTCGATCGAGTTCCTCAACTCGACCGAGGTAAGTTTTTGAATTTCAAATTCATAACCGTTTTCTTGGTCAAGGGAGTGGGTCCCACAAGCTGATTTTGGTCCCCCACTACCCTAATTTGATCAGAGAATCCCTAGCTTCTTGTTCCCCTCTTTATTTCATCTTTTAATCTCAACCACACATCTCAAACACTCCCTCTTCCCCATAACTCGATCGAATCCCACTCTCCCACACCTAAATTTCTGAAACCATCTCTCTCTCTTCACCACAAGAAAAATCGATTTCCTCTTTCTCTCTTAAGTTTTTGCGATTTCTTGTTCTCTTCTTGTTTTGCTTTAGTTCTAGTTTACTGTTTCTTCCATCATTCAAGCAAGGTATGAACCCTAAAACCCTTGATTCCTTCATCTCGATTCTCTATTGCTTGTTTCTCTTTGATTTTTGATTGCATGTGTCCCTTGTGGACTTGTTCTTGAGTAATTGCTTTCATTTTCTTCTATTTGTATAATCTTGTGAATTTGCCTCACCTCACCTCTGTTTTGCCTTAGAACTTGTTGCATGTGCTTGAAATTGAATTTGAGTTTGGTATTGGTTAAGATGCTTAGTTTCACTAGAATTGCTCATTGTTCCATTTACTAGTTGTTCTTGGTTCAATTTGATTGATTAGCATCCTTTCCAGCTCTTAATTTGAATTAGGTTCGGTTATACTCTGTTTTCACCCAGCTCGATCGAGTTTGTCACTCGAGTTTTTTGACTCGATCGAGCTGAGTGTCGAGTTGACCAAACCGATCATTACAACTCTAATTCTTTGAATTTTGATGCATTTCAGGACCAACTTCAAGAAGCAACAAGTTCAAGATGTTGAGAGGTGAAGGGAAGCCAAGCAGCTTGGAGAAGAAGGAGAGAAGCAAGAATGAGAGAAAGGAGGCTAGATGCAAGGATTTGGAAGGAGATCAAAGGAGGAGAAGCATGATGAGAGATGTCTACTCTGAGGAGGTCTGAGAGTGAGAGATTGAGGGAAGAAAGGAGAACCAAGAAGAGGAATGACCCCATTAGTAGTGAGAGTGAGCAAGGGAGTTTGAGATTGGAGTGAACCTTGTTCAAGAGAGGGATGGTCTCCAATGAAGAAGGAAGTGATGAGACTGAGAGTGAAGAGGAAGGAGAAGAGGTGAATCAAGAGTTGAGAAGTGAGCAAGAGAACCAAGATGAAGCCCATGGAGGAGGCTGAGCACAGAGGAAGAAGGATGAGCTCCCCATGTACCAAGAGCACTACAATGCTCTCTTCTCCATGGACTTTGTGGAGACCAAGTACCCACATGATGACACATGAGGCCTTGGAATCTTTGAGGATGTGGAGTTGGTCTCAAGAACATGCACTTGGCCAAGTTCTTCTCTCACCGCATGGAGTCTACAAGGAGCTCACTTGTGAGTTTTTGGCTTCAATGAGGTACCACATGTTGATGAGCTCGATCGAGCTGAGTTGGACCAAGGATTGGGGGATCACGTTCTTGGCAAGGGAGAGAAGAAGATGGTGACCTTTAGGCAGCTTGAGATCTGTTTGGGTTCACTATGGAGAAGGAAAGTGGAACTCAAGGAAGAAGAACTCCAAAGGAGTTTGGGCTACAATCGCTGATGGAGGTACTCTTCCTCAAGGTCCAAGGCTGCTCAGATCAGGAGCCCAGTGCTTGAGATATGTGCACAAGGCACTTGCCAACACCTTCTTTGCAAGGAAGGCACTGGGACAATCAATGAGGGGAAGTGAAGCTCCTTGACATGGGAATCAAGCCCATCATCTCACGCACAAGGATGGGAAGAAGATCAGAGGAGATAGGGCACATGCAGGGAACTCATGCCTCTCCTTGACAGCTCCACCTACAAGATCACAGCTTACAACACTAGGCACCAAAGAGGAAGAAAGCTTAGTGTTGGAGGGTCATCACACCTATCTTTGTGCAGCTGGAGTCCCAACTGACAAGAGAAGGTCTACTCCACCAGGTTGGATGGACATCAAGTTTTGCAAGACCAACCTCTCATTGAGCACAAGGAGTTGGATGGGAGATTCCAATTCAAGTTCACCATCCATTGGCTGGCCCTCCAAGCTTCTCCTGCCCAACCCTGAGCTCACCACAGTTCTAGGGGTGAGAACATTGACTTCAGACCCCCTGTGTACACATTAGTTGGGCATGAGGATGATTTGCGAGAAGAGGAGCCTGAGCTCGATCGAGCTGAGGATCGAGCTGAGTCAGCTGAGGATCGAGTGAAACGCCAGGAATGCGGATTTGGGTGAGCCTGAGTGCTACTACTTTGAGGAGTATGAGGCTCCAAGGATGAACCCCTCTGTTGTGGCTGCCCACAAGAGGATTGGACTTCTCCAAAAGTTCAACAAGTGGCAAGGGAAAGCCATGGAAAGATGCAAAAGTCCATGGACAAGATGGTGAGCAAGATCAAAAGTTTGGAGAAGAAAGTTTCTGGTTCTTCAAGCAAGAAGAAGAAGTCCAAGGCCCCCACTTTCCCTAGGAGTAGATCACTCCTCACCACTCCAAGGAGGCTCCCTGCCCAAGAGCCTCACAGAGCCTCTTCTTTCGAGCCAAGGGAAGGAGAAGACAACACGCAGAGAAGGAGGAAGAGTTCCAAGGCCAGACGCTCCAACTCGATCGAGTCCAAACAGAGGAAACTCAACTCGATCGAGCTGAGGGTCGAGTTGACCTGGAGGAGCCCCTGTTTGAGAACCGGATTCGAGTACGATCAACCAGTACCAGGACTTCTCCAGACCTGGACCCCTACAGTTCGAGCAAGCCAGCTCCACCAAGGCCAAGGAAGCCACACACTTTGAAGAAGAAGAAGAGGAAGAGGAGCCACAAGCTCGATCGAGTGAGCCGAACCCAGTCGAGTGGAGTGCTCCTGATGGCCGTCTACCATCTCCAGACCACGACCTAGCCTCCCAGTTCTTTGGGGGGCACTGAGGTATCCAAACACCAACCCTTGTATATACCATTTCATATTTTCTTGCATTTGTTCTTGTTTTTTCTTGGTTTTGCCCTCTTGAATCTTTCACTAAATTTTTCTCACACAAGGGACTGTGTGATTTAAGTTTGGGGGAGGGTTCAAGAGATGATTTAACCTTGTTTTCTTTGTTCTTAGTTTTTCATTTATCTTTTGCATAGAAAAACCAAAAAAATCATAAAATTTTCAAAAAATCCAAAAATATTTTCATCTTTTTGCATTCATATTTGTTAGACTTGTTTAGGATTGCATTTTTCACTTGCATTGTTGATTTGACTTTGAAAACTTGTCCATCTTTTGCGATTTCTTGAGTGCCCTGTTTTTAGATTCTTTTGTGCATTAGGGTGAGATTGATTGAGCAGCAAGAACCATGTTTATCTTGATCATATCACTGCATGCACATCTCATTCAACCATTGCTGTGATTTGATGCATTTCCCTATCTATTTGAACCATAACTTGATCTTTAATTACCAATGCTTGCATTTGATTTCAACTCATGGCTACCACATACATATCTGGACATTCTTTACACTTTTCATATCCCTTTTGCTTGTCCAGATAGCTGATCTCTATCTTTGAGACAGTTACCACACCTTAAACCTAAGCCTTTTCATTTCAAACCCCATATTATCTCTTGTGCGAATGTGAGAACCTTTCTTGGCTTTGCTTAGCATAAGGTGTTGTGTTTAAACCGGCAGGGGCAGTAGTTCTAGTTGTCTAGTTCTCTTGGGATTGTTTTCAGGCTAAGTTTGGGGGTGCCAACTCGAGCTCGATCGAGTTGGGTGTAAAAACCAGAAAAGTGGTAAAAGTTGGGAAAAACCCAAAGGAAAAAGAGTTTAGTTAAGTCCAGGGAGTTGGCAGTGTTAAAAAGGGTCTAGTAAAGGTTTGGGAAGTTAAAAAAGGAAGTAAAAAGGGTTCTAAGTAGAATGAAAAGAAGGCAAAGCCTCAAGTGTCAAAAAGGAAAGAAAAGTTCCCTAAGTGTTTAGAAAATCCCAAACCGCTAGATGTTACCTCAAGAAGCCTCTCCCTAGGAAGTTCTTAAAAGAAAAGTGAGCAAAGCTCCTCAGTTTCAAAGGCGAAATGCCAAAAAGGGTAGTTAGGATTTTGTTCTAAAAAGCTCTAAGTGTTGAACTCGATCGAGTTAGGATTAGGGCTCGAGCTGCTGTTCTTGCATCATCTTTGGTTCTAACACTTAGCCTTCTGCCAAAGCAAAGCCACTTTCTTGAGAGATCCCTGTTACTAAACCACCATACAAAAGAGACCCTCTTTGTCTCTTAACCCATAAACCCTTGAAACCAAATGAGTTGATTGATCTTGCATGTTTTTGGTTCACTGTTTTTGCTTAATGAATGTTAAAGGGATTTGCTGATTTGAATGCATTGTTTGAGTGACTGTGAAGTGGGATTGATGTTGATAAGCATGGTTAAATCTTAATGAATATCTCTCACCTTGTTGCATTCTAGAATCTCTAAGTTGGACATTTAGCAAATCGCTTTTGAGGACATGTTTTTAAGTGTTGAATCAGCTATTTTCAAACCTCATCTCTTTCTTGTTCTATTTGTTTGCTTGAGGGCAAGCAAAGTTCAAGTTTGGGGGTGTTGATGTACTTGCATTTTACATAGTTTTAGCACATCTTTTATGCATCTTTTGCATAGTTTTAGCTCCATTTGCATCATATCTTGTTCCTTTTCTCTTCTTATGCATTCATGTAGTTTTAGGTTGCATTTGCATACATATGCATGTTTGGTCCTTTGAAATAGGTCTTTTGGAGCATTCTGGAGCATATGGGACATGAGGAGCATGGAGGGACTTGGCACATGGACGCAGCTCAACTGGATACGCAAAGGAAGAAGGGAGAAGCCATCTTGAAGACCAGCTCGACCGTCTACTCGACCAACCGGTCGAGTTCCTCAACTCGACCGGCCAAGCTTCAACTCGATCGAGCTGAGAAGTCAACAGTCAAACCCGAAAAATGTTGCTTCCCCCTTGACTTTCCTTTGACCCTAAACCTAATCCTCTTTGTATTTAAAGGCTAAGCCACGAAAAAACCACCAAGCTTTAGATTATTTTTGTTTTAGTTTCTTTAATTTATTGTCTTTTACTTTTTAGAGACTAATCCCATCTTTGTGTTCTTGAAGCTCTTGCTTCTTGAATCTTAGATCCTGGATAATCTCTTTGTATTTGCACTTGCTTATTTCAATAAAAGTTGTTTATTTCATCTCCTCTTTCTTATGATGTCTCTTTTATTGCATTTGCTTGTGTTTACATTCATGTGTAGTGAGTAGTTACCCATTAGGGTTTGAGATGGGATAGATTAGAGGTTTCATATGCTTAATCCTTCTAGCTTATGGTCTTAATCTAGATTCTCTCTCTTTTGGATAGATCTTAAGGCTACATGACCACTACCCCTGGCTTGTAAGTCCTTAGGCGATTCCCCACACGAAGTGATGGCATTCGCTGGAAAAGATCCACTAAGAGCTCCAATATCTCTTGCTCTAGAAATAGAGGTTGGATGGATTAGTTTGGGCAATGATCCTATGCCTCCAAGGTTTGATTCTCACTGGCTAACCCCCTGTTTCTGAGATCATTCCTTGGTTGATAGCCTTCACCTTGGGAAAGGGTTGGTAGGCATTGAGAAGCCCAATATCAAGAGAAGCCTTGATACAAGGAGTTTTAAGAGCTGATGATTAAGTGTAGTTCCTTTGATTGCAAAACCCTGTCTTGAACCCTAATTCTCTCTTATCTTGTTAAAGTCGTCACCTTTATGCTTTTTCTCAACTCGACCCTAAACTCGATCGAGCTGGTACTCTGTTCCACTCGACTCGAGTCTTGGTCGAGCTGTTACTTCTGCTTTATTTACTTTTGCATTTCATTTCTTTTCATTTAGGTTGTTAGTGTTACCAAATCTATTACTGCTTGCTTGACTTTCCTGGTTGTTTCATATTCTCATAGAGTGACAAGTTTCCCATTTTGGATTGATAACCCTTTGTACTACAACTATCATGGTTAAAGGGAATTGTTGACTGTGTTTGTGTTTGCATCTTACCACCTCATCATATACCACTGATTGCATTCCACTCATCTCATTTCATATCTTTTCACATCCACACACAAATCCATATCATCAGAAGCACTACTCAAGTCCATGAAGACAATGAAGAAGAAGCTTTCAGGCGAGTATTGGCATGGCTCCATTTGAGGCTTTGTATGGGAGGCCATGTAGGACACCCCTATGCTGGACCCAAGTGGGGGAGCGCAGCATGTATGGAGCTACTTATGTTCAGGAGACGACAGAGAAGGTTCGTGTTGTGAGGCTGAACATGAAGGAGGCTCAGGATAGGCAGAAGAGTTATGCAGATAGACGCAGACGAGAGCTTGAGTTTCAGGTGGGAGATAGAGTTTATCTCAAGATGGCTATGTTGAGGGGTCCTAACAGATCCATAGCAGAGAACAAGCTGAGTCCGCGTTTTATGGGTCCGTTTCCAGTAGTGGAGCGAGTTGGGCCATTGGCTTACAGGCTGGAGTTGCCTGAGATTATGAAAGCCTTTCACAAGGTTTTTCATGTGTCGATGCTGAGGAAGTGTCTTCACCCTACAGAGGAGTTAGTGGCTAGGATTCCAGAGGATCTTCAGCCAGATTTGACAGTGCCGGCAGTGCCTGTGAGGATTTTAGAGAGGAGGGAAAAGGTTCTGAGGAACAAGAGGATTCCCTTACTGAGGATTTTGTGGGATTGCAGTGGTTCTACAGAGGAGACTTGGGAGCCAGAGGCAAAGATGAAGTTGAAGTTCAGGAAGTGGTTCGACAAGCAGGTCGAGGAGTGAGCTTATTTCATCTTTGTAGCCTCAGTTGTTATTTTGGCTTTGGTGTTATTGTATTTTCGTTTTGGTTGTAACGATATACATTTTGGAGTTTTAATGAGATGCAGTTTTTCCTCATTTTGCCTTGTGTTGTTTAAGTGGTATTCGGATGTTACAAGTGTTTGACCAGTTTTTGGTCGTGAGACAGTTCTAATTCTATGTTATAGACATTTGGAATTTTTACTCTAAGGATTGCGATCCTGAATAACTCATTACGTTTTGGAGACTGGTTCTCTGGCAGACTCATCTAGTGTAGTGGCCTCAGTTGAGTGACTTATCTGAGTGTAGTGGCCTCAGTATAAGTCGTGGCTGACTTATTTGGGTGTAGTGGCCCCAGTATAAGCAGCGGTTGGCAAGCCCCTGGGTGTAGTGGCCA